GTGTGTGTGTGCGTGCGTAGGTGTCTATTTTTCCAGGCGCGTGCTCTGCATTTATCTGTGAGTGTGTGTCAGTGCATCCACGCGATCAGACGACGGCTTGTGCGTGCAGTCAGAACCACGCGATTAATCGCCAAACTGCCGCCGAAAGAAGTGCAGAAACAGTTGCCTTTCAGTGTCCGATAGCATCAATAATTAAACATCGGGAAATGGCGGGGTTTTTTTACCTTGTGTCTATCTAGCCTTAATGCGTGCTTTATTTACGTGATTAAGGGGTTTTACATACGATAATATGTTCAACGTTGTGTACCTTAGACAGATAATGTTCGAGACCATCGATTTTTGTGAATGCGAAAGATCCAAATGAATTTGAAAAAAAACAAACACACCCAAAAGCTGAAAAAAGCATTTCCCAAACTGATGTCTGTAAAGCTGTGATTGTAGATGTGCTGATCGATGGAACATATTTGGCTCCTGAAGGTGAGTCAACAGTCCTTTTCGTCTGTTTGGGGTGGAATGGTTATGTTCCAAGGTTCCTTGAGCATGAAAGACATGAGTTCAATTCCCGTAGGGGAAGATATTTATCAAGTACACTACTCGTTCCTTCATAATTGATATAAAGTGTGTCTATGATAGCGAAGAGCATGATTGTATTTGTATTGTCATATATTATAACTAGATCTGAGTTTCACTCTGCAAAAATCAAATCGACAATGTTGCGGGTTATAGACATTCAATTTTATTCAAGACTACGTGCGTGAGGAAACTGAGGACGGACAAAATAGTTTCATTTGTTCTCTAGTTCACTTGGGGTTTTTTTCTGCTTTAAATCTTTTAAAATTGGCATTGGTCATGAACTATGGGTCGTGCTGCACTGGCAGAAGTAGATCTACACTTACCTTGAGAAATCTTTCAGTGAGTGAAGAGTTATGTTTTACTTTTAACTAATCTTGCTAAAACTGCATTTCAACTGGACACTAGATTAAGAAACAAGAGATTGAAAAGGATATTTAACATATTGTTCCAGTTCTGTAAAATGGTTTTGTTTGAATCTGATGCCCTGCTGGACATCAGTAAATTATTTCGAAACCAAATCACTTGGCCCACAGTGATCACAGTAATACATACTGTAGAAAAAATATAAGGAAAGAAAGCAGAGACGGTGCACCAGAGTAGATATTAGACATGCGCATTCAAGCATAGATTCTCAATATGTCCTTGCATTTTTTTCCATCGTTGGGAGGGGGGGGGCGATGAGGAGTGAGTCATTTATTTGTCCATAAATCACTAAACAATACGAGTATGGGCCGTGAGTTATGTTCCGTCGAGAAACAGAGCAACAGTCGTGACTTACCATGTCAATAATGCATGTTGTTTTTGTTACCTGCCAAGCTGCAAAGAAGAGTAATGTTTATTAAGTGGTGGTGAATTCGGTTAGGATCTAAGAGAATTATTAAAGTCCATGGACTTCCTGTTTGAATCGACAAGAATCGTCAGGCAGAGACTCATACCAGCAGGGCTATGTATATAATTCCAGCTGCCCTTGAAGGAATTTCAACTGATATAACTAAACCGAGAGGGCTGGGAGTCAGTCAAAGGCTGGGAAATAGTTGCTCAAGACCTTGAGCATAATAATACTTATGATCACAAGAGGTAATGCACACACACACACACAC